TGCGTTCCTCCGAAACGTCGGTTTGCACAAGATCTACACGGCGCCACATCCCAGAAAACGGCATTCTTCATATAAGACACAAATAGAGGGAGAATGTAGTTTCTGTGCTCTGGCACCATCCGCGCGAAAACAGTTCCGTCTTCTGAGAGAAAGACATAACATTAACCGTTTTCCACAGACTTCAGGAAAAATTCCATGGAAAGTATTCCAATAGTATGTTTTGGTGTGAATTATAAATTTCAGAATTCTGTCAACTATTAAATGAAATCATTTGGCATTTGTTTTCGAATTGAAGAACGTGTTTTAGTTCAGATCGGAACGATGTTGTATGTTACTATCTATAAAAATATTATATTGTTTGAACAACGTTATAAGCTAATAAAATATAATATTTATATACTCACGTTACCGTTTCCACATTCCTCCACTTTCGTAAGGATAAGCAGAGATTATGTAACCAATCAGTACATGACCTTAAGCCCGGGACAGTCAATAGCGTTCCTCCTGAAAATACAGTAACCCGCGAAGACATCTAGGTGCCCGCACATGTTTCATAAAAAAAAACTCCGTGGTCTGTAGTCCGCAAGCGAACTATACCGACCGAGCGACCGCCGCTTGTCGGCGAAGTTAGTGCCCACTTTAGCGGATAGAGGGTGTCGCGTGGCCAGAGCAACGGATCCCCACAGCCGTTAATCTCGGATTTCTAGACCGGAGCTCTGGATCTGTAGCCAGGAACTATAACCACTAGACCACCTTTTCATAAAAAAACTTCTCAATTGTTCGTTGATGATCACGAAGCACATGACATGAATTCATCAGTGACGATTGTTTCTGAGTACGAAGACCGTGTTCAAGTATCCTATTAAGTGAGGAGTCCGAGTATAAATAACATTTTCTAACGCTATTTCTTATCACATGCATGCTAAGTATATTTTTGCGAGATGGTGTACGCTGAAAGAACATTTTGGAAACTACATTGGTATGAAAGAAAATCCTAGAAAGCTCAGTCGGTACAACTACAGGCTACTGGTTGGACAGCCGCGGTTTGACTCCAGGCGGGTGCAAGAGATTTTTCTCTACTTTTCACAGTGACAGGACCCGCTCTGGGGCCTACCCAGCCTCCTGTACAATGGTAAGCTGGGGCTCTTTCCGCGGTGCTAAAGTGACCGAGGCGTGAAGCTGACCACTTACCTCTTTCTAGTGCCGAGGACAAGAAAGGTAGTTATACACTTTCACAACCCCACACGTCTTCATGGTGTGGTGCTTAATTAATTAGGCATTGAGACATCTGTACAGTTCACTGTTACTTTTTATTATTGCTAGTGGGGTGGGACTAAGTCCCTTGTACTGCGGCCACTTCTGGCCTATTGTACCAGCACCAGATGATAAGTGAGGGTAATTGTGGAGCAATTGGTGGAATGAAGAAGGGTAGGGGAAACCGAAGTACTCGGAGAAAACCTGCCCCATCGCCACTTTGTCCACCACAAATCCCATTTGACCAGACCCGGGATCGAACCCGGGCCGCCGCGGTGGGAAGCCAGCGACTAACCGCTTGAGTTATGTCGCGGCCTTTACTATTTACCTTACACGGATATAAAGAAAGTTATTCCTAATCTAATTATTTCGGTTCACGTATTTTTCTATAGATTCATACAATTCCGACTGTAACTTAACAACCTTTGCAGTCACTAAGAAAAACTTGGGCGATTCCTGTCCAGTAACAGTCACTTTATCTTAGGCAGTTTTAACCCTGAACTGTAGCGACAGTTACCAACAAGCACTGACATGCACTCCGCACATACGATGCATCATGGCATACTGAGAATTAATCACGTGACCTAACACAGACAGCGGTGGTGTATTCAGTGACAAGCTAGGTTGATAACTGTTGGTAGTCTTTCCTCCCCCTTCCACCCACCAATAGCTGCTGTGTAGGTAGTGTGGGGGTGGGCACATCTGAAACTACTCCATAGTCACTTCGGACGACTAATGGATCACATTGTGTTTAGTAAACTTGAACTGCGCATTGCCGATCACAGTGGCCGCGCGGTCTAAGGTCTGAACTGTGCTCTCCCGCTCGAACGCTGGGATCGTGGGTTCGAATCTATGAGTTTGAGTATGAGGGGTGAGCCATAAAACTGGCCCTGGCACTGCGACCTTCAATCGAACTCAAGGCTTGGATGTCTGTGTGCTTTTGTTCTGTGCTTGTGTTGTCCTATGTACAGGCAGCGGCCTTGCAACGGGCTGATCCCCCGTCCAAGGAGACCTACTGTTTGTGTAAAAGACTAAGAAACTGAAAAAGTGGCCAAGGTCCAACAGAGGCCTGTAGAGCCATAGACAGATGGAACTGCGTATTGCCGATTTCAGGGCCGCGCGGTCTAAGGCATTAACTGTCTTCGCCCGCTCAAACACTGGGATCTGGGTTCGAATTCAACCTGAAGCATGGATGTCTGTGTGTGTTTATTCTGTGTTTGTGCTGTCCTGTGTGCAGGTAGCAGCCTTACGACTGACTGATCCCCCGCCCAAGGAGTCCTACCGACTGATTAAGAAACTGAAAATTGGCCAAGCCCGAGCAAAGGACTATACAGCCATAGAGAGATCGAACTGCGCATTGAGGAGGGATAAAGTTCTTAAAGGGTGGTTATTTATGTTTACTACGCCAATCCATAGGCATTCTGTAGAAGTACGGAATTATTTTTTTTATTGCTAGTGGGTTGGGACTAGGTCCCTTGTACTGCGGCCACTTCTGGCCTATTGTACCAGCCACAGATGATAGGTGAGGGTAATTGTGGAGCAATTGGTGGAATAAAGATTGGCAGGGAAAATCGAAGTACTCGGAGAAAACCTGCCCCAGCGCCACTTTGTCCAACACAAATCCCACTTGACCAGACCCGGGATCGAACCCGGGCCGCCGCGATGGGAAGCCAGCGACTAACCGCTTGAGCTATGGCGCGGCCCTCCAAGTACAGAATTAAGTGCTGACATTTTAAGGGTTGGTTAAGGTGTGAATCCCTACTGCTCCATTTCCTGTCGGTACCTTCCGACTGTAATCATGCCGATTGTGTTTGGGTTTCCCTCTATGACTTCCTCTGACAGATTGTGATTTCTGTGGTTTGCTTTCAAAGCATGCATCCTGTTGTGTGTCTTAACGTACTTTCAAATGGACAATCAAGACAGCAATAACGTTAATACTCGATAAGACAAAATAGATACCACTGTGTCAGCATCTGTTTATTTTTGCAGTTCGTATTGCGACATGTTTCGATCTTACTTTTTAGGTTATCCTCAGGCAATACACAATCAAGGGCCTAAGTCCATAAACTGTGTCAAAGGATTAAATATGGACCCTTACCCTACGCTTTGACTTACGTTATTGGTTGTGTATTGCCAGAGGATGACCTAAAAAGAAAAGTAGAAACATTCCGCAACAAGAACTGCACAAATAAACAAATGTTGATATGATAGTTGACCGCCTCTGTGGTCTAGTTGTCAGAGTTCCTGGCTACAGATCCAGAGGTCCCGGGTACGATTCCCAGCGCTACCAGATTTTCTGAGAAGTAGTGGGTCTCGAACGGGGTCCACTCAGCCTCGTGAGGATAACTGAGGAGCTATTTCAAGAAAATAGCGACTCCGGTCTAGAAAACCGGAATTAACGGCCGTGGGGACTCGTTATGCTGACCACGCGTCACCCTCTATCAGCTAAAGTTGGCATTAGCTTCGCCTACAAGTGGAGGTCTCTCGGTCGGTATAGTTCGCTTGAGGACTAAAATCACGGAGTTTTGTATTTTTGCTTTTGTTTATATGATAGTTATCTATTTTGTCTTATATAATATTGTCGTTATTGTTGTGTTGACTGCATCGTATGAGAGAACGTCCTATAATTTAGTTTTTGAGTTACGTATCCTAATCCGTCGGGCCTGATCGAGGTACTGTCCCGGAAATTTCCTAGAGGGAATTCGGAGAACAATTTGTTTGGACAGCCGGTGTCTCGGATGAGGTTCCTACCCAGCACCTTCCAAATTCGAGTCTAGAGCCTTATGCCAACCCGCACAGTGACGTGCGACAGCAAGTTGCATGTCTAGTGCTTCAGTTGCGATTCTAACCGGTATGTACTACTAATCTCATACTGCACAGTAGCGACACCTGTACGCAGTGCAAAGTAATGACAGTAAAACAGTTGTATTCTGCAGGTTTGTTTATTAATAATCGCGAGTGATGTATTTGCAATGAAAGTGGACATTTCTAAAGTTGCTTTTCCGCACAGAGGACAATAAGCAAGGTAAAGTCAACGTATTTTACATCTTTAACAGTGAGCGAATTGCTGTAAGCGAAGTAAGGCAGTTGAGAATAGGTCTTGTTTGTTGGATGTCATGGCAGCGGAGGTTATGTACGGTTGTATGAGGTAGCGTAGGCTGGTAGAAGGGGAAAGAATAAGGCGGCAAGTTGCCGTACTGTATTTATAAGCTTACGAATATCTATACATTTTGCTAGAGTAATAGAACGATGATGTCCTTATCTAGATTCAAACCGAGCCTCTTAGATATGAAAATTAGAAATGTTACCACAATTCAGATCCACTCCTTAAGTGTAAGTATTTATAATGTTATATTTTAGCGTCCTGTTGCACTGATTCACGTTCATGATGTGTATTTATACCAACCGTCTTACAGTGCACACAATTTCACTTTTCTCCTCACTACATGTTTCGGCACTAATGTGGAATTTTAAATGCGACATATAGATGATAAATCTTGAAACGTTTTAATATATAAACTTTATTATCATGACATATATACATTTTAATCATTGTATAAAGGAGACATGATGGCATACAGTGCAATGGTTTCAAGTCCCGTCAGGACCCGTGACAATGTTTTTGTTCTCTCCAAGACTTCTACGTTTTTTAAACGGGGCCCCTTTTTCAACGAGAGGAGGGAGCTGACTACTGCTGGCCACTCCCCTTCTACTGAAGGTGATTCGAGCGGGCACTTATACACTGACTGCCCCATTTCCTCCACTTACAGACAAAAGTAACAACCTACCTCACTGTTTCACTTGTAAGGATTCGGGGGAAACTCTAAATTATCTTCTGACGTTGCTAGGACACGGCGAGATATCCAAACTGTCTCTCCCGATCGAATTTTACGGGTAATCTTAAGTAACCACAATGAACAACAACAACAAGAACAACAACAACAACAACAAATGTAATTGCAGTGCAAATATTATGCATATGAACGCTATTACAATAATTGTCTCTTTGAAACAGAGGGAGACCAAAGAATAACTAATTGGCATTCGATGTGCCGTTGATATAATATATGAACAACCTAAGCAACGATACAGAAACGGCAGTTTCCTCATCCATAAGTTTTAACATCTGATGATGACTACATTGATCGAAACACATAGTATAACACTTTAAAGTGAATAGCTTTTAATAAGTTTTATAGAAATTAGTGTTGCACTTGAGACTGTAGAAGTAATCGATATAGTCTTTATGATGTAGATACTTATGCTTTTATCGAAACTGTATCTACACCAGAAGTTATCTGCAGTTAAATGAAAAGAGAGCATAGGTTAGCAAATTGGAAAGATTGGAGGAGGAGGAGGAGGAGAAAGAGGTCGATGCCTTCTGGAATGTATCATCTTGGGATTAGCCTGAAGGGAAGCTAAACTCCAGTTTCAGGAGCCTCTGACGTTTTCGCTCGGCTGCGATGCATTAACCTAATATAACTCTGAAGTAGCAAAGGGCAGATTTCCAAAGGAAAGGGCCTGTTTGTACGATGAAGGACGTTCAAATAATTAGCGAATGCTATCGGATAATTTCCATATAACAGGCTATACACTTTTTACTTCAGTATGTAATCGAACTTTGATACTTGGTTGTGTTACGGAACTAATTAAAAAGCATCTCTCACATCACTTATAACTAGAGTAACGAAGGTTCATTACCGTACTCAAAAGAGGCTACCACGGGTCCCTAACCTGATGAATCACATCTGCTAACACAGTTTCTTTAACCATATTCTGAAGCATTTTGACGGCGATGGGTTTTTTTTCCTTGGCACTACAGCCCCAGTGGGCCTAGGCCTACCTCCATGAACTTCTCCGTTCACTTCGGTTTTTCTAGATCTTACACATTCGGTAGGACTCCTTGGGCGGGTGATCAACTCGTCGCAAGGCCTCTACCTGTACACAAACACAGAAAAAAGCACACACACGAACTAAACATCCATGCCCTGAGTGGGATTCGAACCCACGATCCCGGCTTCCGAGCGAGCGAAGACAGTGCATGCTCAGCACCGCTCAGTCATCGTGACAGGCGACGGCGACGGTTAACCCTCGGAATTACCGGGTTTTTGGACTTTGTCCATCGTCCGGTGTTCTGTAAAACTACAAAACACGTTTCCATCCTCAGGTCAGTGGGGGGAGACAACTATTCTGTTGAGTCCCTTAGAAAGGGCAGTGGTTGAAGTTAGCCCACCAGAGTAGTTGTCTCCCCCTTCATCTGAAGGCGGAAACTCATTCAATTTCCGAAAAATTGCTCTTTTTTATATTACCATACGAAAGACAAAATGAAGGAACTCAGTAATTCCTATCACTTCTCTAACATTCGTTCTAATAATATTTTTCCGTCTATTCTCAGGCCTCTTCCCTTCAAGATTTTTCACTGAAATTCTGATTTCTCATCACTCTTTGCGTGCTATGTGTCCTGCCCATATCAACATCCTTCTTATCACCTTCATATCTGAAGTATAATAGGACTAAAAATACGAAGCTCCTAATAATCGTGTCTGCCCCGGTCTTCTTTTTACTTCCTCCAAGTAGAATAAATTTTATGTTAAGTAGATGAACTATAGCTCTTAATATCTTGGAAATAATTACCTTAGGCAGCGTTTCACAATGTTACACTATATATAGATTCTATATAACTACGAATCGGATTTGTATGTTGCGAGGCGCTCATTTCATATCTCGGCCGGGACAGAGGCTGTCCTGGTTTAGGTTTGTCGTGGTTTTCCTTAATTCGTCCACTTAAATGGTAGAATAGTACTGCCATTAGTCAACAACGGCTTCTTTGCAAATTATTTCCCATTCATAAATTATTTGTCACCCTATACTGACAGTTGAAAAAACACGGCAAAAATACGTATATACAGCGGTGCTCGTAATGTCTGTTGGTTTCTGACGCTACTGTTACACGTCCATCCTTTGTTTTCGGTTTGTAGAGCTCTCGCCAGTCCCAGAGCGTGAGTCAGTCTGCGGCGGTCTGCGGCAACTGAAAGCGGTCTGCATTCAGGGAACTTCCAGACAAAGAGAATCGTGAAGCGAATAGTCCATAACTGAATCGAAGCGAGGAAATGACATTAATTAAAATACAGTTGAATTCGATGGAAGATTGAACCGGTGTGCCACCTGTTAGTGACAGTATTTACCAGAAATGACGCAGAAAATTGTTTCGTTCAATTAAGCCAGAACTAACGCGAGATGCATAGGAATGGGAATGGGTGTGTTTCTCATCTGGGTTTTCTCGAACCCCAGACGACGTACGAATTGCTTCTAGATGATAGGAAGATTTCCGATGGTCTATAAAATTTTGTACTGTTATGAGTACGGGGTACGCGGTAGCCTAGTTGGTTGAGGCACTATGCTACAAGCCGTAAGGTCGCGGGTTCGATTCTCAATGAGGTCACTCGATTTTTCAGTTGACTTAATCCTTCCAGCTGCACTCTGGCCCTGGGGTCGACTCAGCCTCTAACTACTAGGAATTTTCCTGGGGAATAAAGCGCGGCCGGCGCGTAAGGCTGACAACATTACCGCCATCTGTGAGCCGATTGTCTAGATAATGTGGGACCCTCAACGTCTCACAACCCTATGGGCCTCCATGGCCCGTCGTACTTCGGAATTTTCGGTATAATTTTTTCTTGAAAAAGGGACATAAGTCGAAAAACCGTAATTTTGGTTCATTATAGCGTGGGGCGTATAGGGTTACGTTTCTAGAACTCAAAGCTCAGGTCCCATTTTCAGTATTTTAACTCTCAGTACCCTATAATGAAATTGTTTTATTCTAAAGTCATGCGGCTCTTTTATATAAACAAAATTCTTATGTTCTCTAGGAAGGAATACGGTAATATTTGAAAGAGTAGTTGATACATATTTTTCAATATAGATGGCAAGTGTATAGCATGTAGAGTGTGATAATAGCAATGGCTGTAATAAACTGATGGTATAGAAGATAAACTGCATGAATTGCAAATCCATATGTGGAAATATTAGTAGACTCTAAAATTCAGAACGAGGATAAGTGTTCGATATTATTTAGTCTCGACATTAATAACGTCGTTAAATAACCAACTATAAAAAGGAATGATACAAAATTACAATTTTCCGGGTCTGTGGTCAGTGTTAGCCTTTTGTAATTGTAGTAACACCAGAGACACGAAACGCGGACTGAGGAATTTGTCTCAAGCCATGCCCGTGCCGTATTTTGGCCAGGATACTGACTGTCCTAGCAGAGTTATTTGTAATTTTCATCAGTTCCTTCAAATAAATGCCGAGATAATGTCGTAAATTAGGCCACGGCCTCTTTCTTGCGTTCCAGTTTATTACAATCATCCAACCACACGACGCTGCATAGTACGAGGACTGATACTGACATTAAATAACCAACAAACAAATAAATTAAAAGGAAACATGACATCATCACGATACATATCGTGAAGCAGAATGCTGCAGAAAGTTTATACAACTTGGCAAAAATTAAACAAGAAACAAAGAGTACTGTTTTCTGGGACATGGCACTGTGTGATCCGTTAGTTTCCCAACGTTTTTCCCTGCCTTATGTTCATCAGTATGTTTGGTTGGCTTATGGGTGATTGCGTTTTGTCCTTGTTTGTGTTCCTCGTCTTTGGGACAAATGTTGTTTGTTGTACGAGTATGTGTTGGTTGTAGGCGGCGCCATAGCTCAAGCAGTTAGTCGCTGGCTTCCCACCGCGGCGGCCCGGGTTCGATCCCGGGTCTGGTCAAGTGGGATTTGTGGTGGACAAAGTGGCGGGGGGGCAGGGTTTCTCCCCGTACTTCGGTTTCCCCTGCTAATCTTCATTCTACCAATTGCTCCACAATCACCCTCACCTATCATCTGGGGCTGGTACAATAGGCCAGAAGTGACCGCAGTACAAGGGACTTAGTTCCACCCCACTAGCAATAAAAAAAAGTGTTGGTTGTGAAACTGAAACTAACCTACACACAAGCGAACACACACAAACACACGCACAC